ACAAAAACTTCACCTACAAAAGCTTCACACTGTCTTGATCAAGATAGTGTGAAGCAAAATCAATTTATGGTGCCCAACAAAGCTTCAACCTCAAAGCTTCACCTACAAAGCTTTAAAAAAAAAAACAATATATATATATATATTTTCGGAAATTCAAAAATTTAGGAATTCGAAAATTCAAAAATTCAAAAATTCAAAAATTCGAAAATTCGAAAATTCGAAAAAAAAAAATCTTTGGGCCTAACAACTTTCATAATAAATATATATGAAGGAGTTTTGGGCTACCACTTAGAAAGGAAATGCCTCATTCGTCAACTCCCTCAACCGGAGACTTGGGGGACTCCTACCATATGCTACTGCACCTTGATACTCGGAAGTCTCACGACCACTCAGTGACTTAGATTTTTCAAGTCTCCAAACGAGAAGTCTTCCTCACTCGGGAAATTAAGGGAGCACTACCTCAACCTACATGCTTCACTCACAAAGCTTCAACATACAAGCTTTAACAAAAGGAAAAATTCAAAGAACTTAGTGAAGAAGGCATTGGTGTATTTAATACAATACGTTGAAATGAAGCAAAGATTGTTTATTGATATCTCCGATAAGTTACAAATATGTACATATACATGAATCAAAATAAACAAACAAGAGGGAGCCTTCACAAAGGTTGCTCAGGAGAAGTCTCAGCAATCGACAGAGCCCCAGAAAGATGAGGCACCAGAGGGTGATTATTCGGAGCCTCAGTACTAAGCAGAACCCCAGAAGGATGAGGCATCGAAGGTAGATCATTTGGAGCTTCATTACGCGGTACAACCCTAGAAGACGAAGGCAATAAATGTCTTTGGAACAAACCCACAAACCTCTGATGATCAAGTAAAATCTGACCATTAGATTCCTACAGTTGGTCAAGCTTCCTCTTCATGTTTGTAGCATGGTCATGTGCGAGCCTATGCAACTGTTTATTCTAATGCTTGAGCCCTCTTATCTCCTGTTTGAGACTTATCATTTCAGCCGCCAATGATTCAACTTGGCGTGTTCGAGCAAATAGGCGTTGGGCCATATTAGACACAGAACCTGCACATTGAACACTGAGAGCCAGAGAATCTCTAACAGCCAACTGATCAGACCGTTTGGAAAGTAGTTTGTTATCTTTGGGAGTGAGAAGGTTCATGGCCACCACCACAGCGGTCATATCATTCTTCATCACAGAGTCCCCAACGGTAAGAGGACCAGTAGGGGTTAAGAAGGATGGGCGCCATATGTTGTCTTGAGAAGGCATGGCTGCCTCTTCACCAAAGTTCAAGTCAAAACAACGGTCGGATGGGCCAGACATTCTCAGAAATGATGAAGGAGAAATGAGGTGCAATAAATCTCTGAAGTAAGGGGAAAATTCCTACAAACAATAACTCTCTGAATGAACTCCTTGCACATAATTGGTGTCCTTATAAAAGAAATGGTAACAGGGCTGTTGGTTCAAAAATCGAAGAGGCACCACTCTCCGGATTTTGAAAAGGCACCACTTTCCACACGCAACATCAGCTCATCGGGTACCACAGATAACTTTGCCAAAGATCTCTAACAAAGTTTAGAAACATAAATTTTGAAGGTCCAGCTACCCTACTATTACCCACAAGGGTAAAGGAACAACACCACTGCTTGATAACTAGAAAGTCTCAATGTGTGTCAACCTCTGTGCTCCGTGGCAAGGCAAACTGGCAAAAATGCCCAATCTTTACTCACATTCGAGAAAACACTACCAACAAGATTGCTTGCTCAAAAATCGAAGAGGAACCATTCTCCGAATCTCGAGAGCTAGACTCCCAACATGATTACTTTCTCAAAAATCAAAGAGGCACCGCTCTTCGAATCTCAAGAGCCAAATTCCCAACAGGATTGCTCTCTCAAAAATCGAAGAGGCACCGTTCTCTGAATCTCAAGAGCCAGATCCTCAACAGGATTGCTTGTTCGAAAACCGAAGAGGCACCGCTCTTTGAACTTCGAGAGCCAGATTTCCTTGGATAAAGCTTGTCTGCAATCTTCACACGCAACATCAGCTTTCCAGATACCACAGACCACTTTTTCAAAGGGCTCTGACAAAGTTAAAACATGTGAAGCTTGCAACTCCCATTACATTGCTATAACCAATAAGGGTAAAGGAATAGCATTATTACTTGCTCAAAAATCGAAGAGGCACCGCCCTCCGAATCTCAAGAGCCAGACTCTTAATAAGATTACTTTCTCAAAAATCGAAGAGGCACTGCTCTCCGAATCTCATGAGCCAAACTCCCAACAGGATTGCTTTCTCAAAAATTGAAGAGGCATAACTCTCCGAATCTCGAGAGCCAGATCCCCGACATGATTGCTTGTTCGAAAACCAAAGAGGCATCGCTCTCCGAACTTCGAGAGCCAGATTTCCTTGGATAAAGCTTGTCTGCAATCTTCACCGCAACATCAACTTTCCAGATACCACATACCACTTTTTCAAAGTGCTTTGACAAAGTTAAAACACGTGAAGCTTGCAGCTCCCACTACATTGCTATGACCAAGAAGGGTAAAAGAATAGCATTACTACTTGTTGTTAGGGAGAATCCTATATATGTCGACCTCCATCCTCCATGGACAGGCAGACCTGCAAAAATGCTCAACCATTCCTCATATCTGAGAGGGCACTCCCAACGAAGCCTCTCGAAATACTCAGCTTTCTTCCCCCCTCCCCCTATAATACCTATGCAAACCAGCACACCAGAGCAAGAGTATCTTATATCATCAGGGTCAAAAGCAAGAGTATCCCATATCATGTTTTTCCCCTTTCTTTTCCTTTGCCTTTGTTCTTACTTGCAAGACAAGGAGAAATAGAGCAATCAGTCAGTACTTGGAATCAAGCTTCCAGTCAGGAACTGACTGTTTGGAACCCCTTGTCTGATTACTTACCTGGCATTGCTTTTGAGTACTCATCTTCAACATCTTATGCTTCTAGAAAAGATACCACATCTGCCTGAGGAACAGATAGGGCAAGTGAGAAGGATATAAGGAAGCATGTGGAGACAAGCGCAACAGAACACATGCCGATTCATCTATTACTTCGTCAACAGCAAAAGTATCCCATATCATCAAGGTCGAACACACTCTTGATTTGATGGACTTGTTTTGACCCTCAAATTCTTGAGTCGACCTTATACTCTGGAGGAAACCAGAAAACCCTCCAGCCCAGTTCAACAATAAGCTTGTGGAAAGTTACTTCTTCAAAAGCAAAAGTATCTCATATCATCTTTTCTCCATTTGCTTCTCCTTATCCTTGTTGCTGTTTACGACACAAGGAGAAGGAGAACAATCAACCGGAAGCCGAAGTCGAGCCTCCGATCCAGGTTGCTTGCTTGGAAGTCTGATTGCCTACCTTGTTTGTTACCTCTTTAGGCAAATCTCCTAGCTCGGCCACTTGGGGGACTCCTACTATAGGGTTTTGTATCGCACTTGACCAAGCCTAAAACTACAAGTAAGCTTCAAGTGAAATTGATACATTACCTTGTGCATCTTCATCGGTTAAAGATACCACCCCTGGATGGAGGAAAAGTACTTCCAAAGAAGATGCCACATCTACGTATGAGACACATAAAGTTAGTGAAAATGATACCACACTTCGGTACTTAGAAGTTTCGTGATTACTCAATGGCTTGGATCTTGTAAGTCTCCAACCGAGGAGCTTCCCTCACTTGGCCACTTAGGGGAGCATTGTTTGTACCATACTTAACCAATCCCGAAACTACTGAGCACCGGTCAACGTTATACCATCAAGGACCTAGAAGAGTTTCCCTCCAACCAGGAGGCCAATCACAGCGTGACACGTGTCGACATCAGAAGCCAATCATAGCGCGACACGTGTCAACATTAGAAACCAATCACAACACGTGTCAATGTCAAAATGAAACTAGAAACTCTCTTCTATAAATAGAGATCATTCTCTCACAATATTTCCGAATGTCATTTGTACTAAATCATTCACTAGTACTGACTAAAGGAGAGCTTGAACCTATGTACTTATGTAAACCCTTCACAATTAATGAGAACTCCTCTACTCCGTGGACATAGCCAATTTGGGTGAACTACGTACATCTTGTGTTTGCTTCCCTATCTCTATCCATTTACATACTTATCCATACTAGTGACCGGAGCAATCTAGCGAAGGTCACAAACTTAACACTTTTTGTTGTACCAAAGTCCTCGCTGATTTTGTGCATCAACAGCTTTGATTTCGGATTTCAAATTGAAATCCCTAAGTTTCACAGTGGGATGCAACCGGATGACGTCTTAAATTGGTTGACAACAGTAAAGGAGATTTTTAATTTCAAAGAGGTTCCAGAAGACAAAAAAAGGTGGGATCGATGGCCATGCGTTTATGAAAAAGAGCATCAGCTTGGTGGCAACAAGTTAAAGGCCTCTTGGATTGGAAAAAGGAAGAGAAAAATTGAAACATGGGAAACGATGAAGAAATACAGCGTGATGAATTTTTTCCTCAGGATTACGCAAGATCAAGATCTTTGTATTCACAGTTACAAAATCTTTGGCAAGTCAATAAGTCAATTGAAGGAAAAATTTTGTCATGAGTAAGTGCTTATAAATTCCACTTCTCGCTAGAAGATAGGGCAGTTTTGGACTTTTTGACGATTACAATACTCAAAAGTATTTCTCTATAACACTTTTGTGCCTTCATCTTGTGAGATTGCTCAACTTTATTTTTTCCTTGCACTAAACGATAGTAAACCTTTTATATTTCAATTTTCATTTCTCTTAATTTCATTTCCTTTCACTATCGCCCTGCCTCACTCTGTGTACTCCTTTTTGCACTTTTCACCTACTCTTTCAAAAAATTAAGATGTCATGCCAAATTTGTAGCTACGCTTGTAAATTACCAAAACGAGCAGGCACCATCACTGGGCGGCGCAACATGTACCAAAGCATCTATGCCAATGAAGTTAATTTTTTGCTAAAATAGCCGATGAGCATTGTGCAAAAGTTGTTTGAGTTAATTTTTAAATTTTTCATCTCGACACTTTCTAATTTAACAAATGCTACAATATTTTATTATTTAACAACAAAACCTTTTTAATATTCTATTATTTTTCCACCCACCACCATTTTCCTCATCTAAAAGCATCGACTTTTCTTTTTATCAGACCCTCATCTCTCTCTCTCTTTTTTTTTTTTTTTTCAGTCAGCCTCTCCTCCAGAAAGGTTTCCCCGATTTCCAGAAATTGACCCTCATCTGATCTTCATCTGATCGGACACTCATCGATCTTCCTCGACGTCTCTGCCTCCCTCTACCAAGCCCACGCCGTCCTTTCCTTCCCCACTAGCTTAACTAGCTAAGCTAAACATGCTTGTTTCTTTCTAGTTTGTACTAGTATTCCATTCGATAATTGGTTGAAGGAGATGACACAGGATTAATGTTGGTGTTAGTGGCCATGGCGGGTAACCAAAAATCCGCACCGTTGCTGTTCGCGATGTGCATTGTGTACTCCATAGGAACCAGGCACAGTCCTCTGCTCCTCAGGTCGCTTCTTCCTGCTTCTTGTTTTACCTCTCCAACTCCACCCTAAAAGTTTCAAACACAGAAAAAAGTAGCGAAAACATGGAAGGCCAAAAGTTACAAATGGTCAATGTGCTTTACGGTAACTAGAAACTAGTAACTTGTATATTTGGGTTGTTATTTTATCGATTTTACCCTTGTCGTTTCCTTCTGATATGAAAACATGATGCCCGTGATTTTTGCATGTGGAGTGCCAAGTTATACAAATTGATATTTAGGGAAGTGATTTTCATTCTTCCGATGGTGTATGGTGTTGGATTGAACACGTCAGAATAATGAATAAACATAAATTAGGTAATCAGTGCAGAAAAAGAAAATTGTAGTGTAAATATCACTACCAATGGTAAAAGTAAACCACAGGGATCAATTTTAAGATTTTTTTTTTTTGGATAACGACAAATAGATTATGACAAGGACCAATTTTAAGAATTTGTCATACACTAAATTGATTATGACAAATAAATTATTCATCGAAAATACTACACTTATCATATTATATTTGTAAGCACTGTTTTTCTCCGCCAAGCACTAGTCATACACTAAATTGATTATGACAAATAGATTCTTGATAAAAAAAAATACACCTATCACATTTTTTATACTACATTTGTACACTGTTTAAAAAATCCATGTCTAGACCTGCCTAGCTCGCCTAGGCCCCAACCTAGACCGCCTAAATTCGTTTAGGTTGCGACTTTGACTTAGACAAAAAATCGATAACTTTTATTGTATTTTTTATTTTTCCAATAAATGTAAGATACTTCTTGAATACTTAGATGAACATTCATCATATGTTTGTTCCCTATGTTTTCAACATATTCTAATACTTTATAATTTATATGTTATTTTATTTTGTAATTTATCTACCCAATATAATTATGCTTGTTTTTAAGTATAAATAGGCATTTATTTATACAATATATAATAAATTTACTTAAATCCGTCTAATCCTCCTAGTCTACATAGCCCCCCCCGGACCAGGATCCTCTCCTGAGCAGATGGAGATGATCCTCCTGACCAGGCCCATCGGGCAGTTCATTTTTTATCCAACGGCTACAAACAGGAAGTTCCTCTAAAAGTTATAATAATTATAGCCGTTGGATAAAAAATGAACGGCCCGATAGGCTGGTCAGGAGGATCCTCTCCATATGCTCAGGAGAGGATCCTAATCCCCCCCCTATGTCATGCCTAGCCAGCCTAGTCTGCCTACTCTGCTTGGGCCCCCGCATATGTCATGCCTAGCCACTAAGCTCTAATCCGCTGCTTGATTAACGTCTAACGTCTTTTAAAACCTTATTTGTACGATATCTCTAATAAAAATAGAACCCATATGTTTGATGAGCCTTATTTCTGTAAGAAAAATGTTTGCAAGACGGTATGAAAAATATGATAAGAGCAACATTATTTTTTTTTAGATTTTCAGATTGAAGTAGCATTTTCTAAAATGTGAAAAATCCAAAATCTACAGACACCGTCACTCTTTTGACTAAAATTTTCATGACATGACCAAAGTCAGTGAAGTCACAATCACTCCGGGTCCCACACTACGACTACTGTCTAATTACACGTCACTAGATGACGTGGAAAACAAGTAGAAGTAAAAATTCTGACAGTGAGAGTGTTTTTTTGGTACTTACATGTACAGGTAATGAAGGAGGCTCTAGGCGTTGAAGGTAAGGCGAGCACAGCACCTGAACCTGTTTTTGCAGAAATCTGATGTATCCCATCGCTTCGTGAAGCACCGATGCCGTGTCCGTCTGCAACACACCCAATTTTCCAAGTTCCCAGAAGAAAAAAATCAGATATTTTCTATGAATTTGCAAAAATATTGCCAAAAAATAATTAACCGGGTGGCTTGATTTGGGGTTTTGCAATTCCACCTTGCCGTAGGGTGAAACGAGCTGCTGCAACGCTGTGATTCGTTCTCCGAGCTTCTCTTTCCTCTGTACATTTGCAGAAAACCAGAAACCATGTGGTAAAAACAGCGACGAAAATTGTTCTGCTTTGCAGAAATGGCAGAGATAGAGTGCGAGAGAGAGAAGAGCATGCAGAGGGTGTGAGTTGTGGGGGGAGGGAGAGAGAGAGAGAGAGAGTAGCATGCAGTGCCGCAGATGAACTTATGGGGTTTGGTCTTTGTTGAAAGGTCGTACCTTTCCGTTGCCGGCCGACGTGCGATTCTCCGATTTCGTCTTTTTAGTGGCTCTCTGGGTTGTCGGAGTAGTTGTGTTGCTGATCGGAGCCAACCCATTTCGCCTTTTCTGCCAATAAACCCAGAAAAATTCAGAAACTTTGAAAGAAAGAAAAATAGTTCTAAAAGAAATGAGGAATTAATGGCTGACATTGTTGGACTTGGGCAATGCACTGATGCTGGCGGTGCTTGTGGAAGAAACGGAGGAGGAGCCGCTGCATGTGACGGCTGATTTCTTGGCGGTTTCTGAAAACCCACTTTCGACACCGTTAACGTCGGTTTGGTGGTCGTAGTTTCCGAAGCAGAGCATTTTGGGTAGCTTAATCTCGGTAGGATAAGTAGATGAGCAGGTGTAGTTAAAGGTCTGGTCGGAGTTCACGGCAAGGTTAACGACTTCGTCGGCCGCGAAGAGTAGCTGAGAGAAGCTAGTCCCCTCTGTCACCGCCAAATGGTCCCCCTCGAACCCACCACTTTCCGCCATTTTCAACCCCACCGAACCCAAAAGCTCTGAGCTTTTCAGAGAGAGAGAAAGGGGTTTTTAGGAGAAAACAACGGAAGCTTCTTGTTGATAAGAGAGAGAGAGAGAGAGAGAGAGAGAGGGTGCTCTGATTTTGTTCTGTTGCTTTATGTTTGTGAGTGAGACTCTTGAGATTATAGAGCGTTACAGTGTCGAGAGAGGGAGAGAGAGAATGGGTGGGCTGAGAAGAAAGGAGGGTGTGCGCTGGGCTTTCCAAGGGTGGAGGCTTCGGTTTTCGACGACTTTTGGTCAAACCTACCTGACCCGAGAAAACCGTGGTTTCGAGCTCCAACGCGATGTTGCCTAACCCCACACTCTGAAACGATTCTTCTTTCGTCACCTTTGTCAGGAGACTCAGGACTCAGGAGGACACAGGACCAGACAGCGTTACATGCCAATGGGCCAGCTTCGACTATAACTTCCCTTATATATGCGTGTGCGCGCGCATAACTGATGTGATATTAGATTTACAGACACGAAAAAGTTTGAACATTTTTCAGTATTAAAGGTGTAATATTAACGATTAGTACTACGGTACATTAATATTAGTATTTTTGTAAGTATATAAATATTATAAATAGCGAGTTCATAATTAATTTATTATCCAATCATTTTAGTGTGAATATCTTGATATAAAAAAAATGTAATATTGATATAATAAGAGAGAGTTGGTGGCAACTTTAATTAGATAAAGTAGTTAAATATGAGTAACAAAATTGAGAACAATATATAGGTTTTCAAAAGAGGGTTGAATGCTCTCCTACAAATGGGAAAAGTTTCAACAAACATTATATTGTAACATCGCATACATTATCTCCTATGGTTAAATTCTCTCCGACATTTTGGAAAAGTTTAACCCTTAGATGATCGCACTTCACATCTATTACATCAAATATAAAACTAATAACTCTCTTGACATCATTTTATTTGGACAAAAACTTACATGTAACGGGTTTCTCTCCATTTACATTTTTTTCATCTCTCATCACATGAGAAAGAAGATATAAACCATTGTTCGGGGAATTTTAGGTTGAGGTGGACTTGGGCTTTGAAAATGTCCTCTTGTCTCCCTTGGTTTGGTTTTGTACCAAGTCTCGGAATATTTCGAAAGAATTAGCTTATCTTAGGAAATATCACGGTTAGATCAACGACTCAGAGATAGCATGACTTAGGCAAATAATGACTTGATCAAGAGAAGCGTGGTGTGGAAGCTAGAAGTTCATCCGTTAGCATGTTGAGAGAGAGAGAGATGGCATGGTTGCATGGTGTTTCTTGGTAAATAATATGGGTTTCCTAGGGTAGCAGCAAGGCTTATGATGGCTGGGATTTTAGTCGAAAGTTGTGGGAAACACTAAGGTTGTATGGATGTTGATTCTTGAGGCTTAAAGGATGTTTCTAGACTAATGGAGTTCTCTGGGTATGTTTCCTGGGTGTTGCTTCTTAACTATGTCTCTCTGCGTTCTCTTCCTCTTTTATGTGTTACCTCTAATTTTCCCCTTTCTCTAATGGATTCTCACTCTTTATGTAAGTGCAGGGCTCTTCTCTAGGTTTAAAGGGAATCTCCCTTATGTGGCTTGGTTTTTCCCCTCTTTTCTCCCTAACTCTCATGTTATTCCCTTTTTGGTGTAAGATAGATGCATTGTTGATTCCTGTAGTTTGCTTCTTCCCGAGGTGTAACTTTCCCAGGTCGGCTTTCCACAAGCACTACTTATGGTAATGCACCTCACAACTTTCACATGTTGGATGTCTATGCAAGCTAGGAAGGGAAAGTCAGCATTAAATGCCTGACCTGCTGTGACACACCCCGACCGGAGTCGAGGCATGCTGGTCGACACTCGAACGTAGCCAAAGAAAAAGTGAGGTGGAAGAATTCGAATAAATTTAAACCGAAGCTAGAATTTATTTAAGCTAATAAAGAGAGTGCGCAGTAGTGAGAAGAACCCATAATACATAAGTAGTCAGAGCATAGATGACAGTACGACATAAGTAGAGTAGTCGATTTTAGTTAAGATACTTAGTACACAATTGGAAATAAACTCCTACATTTACTCAAGAGAATGTCAGAATCGCCAAAGATCCCTCGTATGCCACAAAAGATTCAGCTAACTAAGTCCTGGAAGGGCGTAAAACAGAAAGTGTAAGTGGGCAAAAACAAAGGTTTATGAAACACATTTATTTTTTGAACATACTAATCCCTCGCTGTTAAACATGTATCGTTTCCAAAAAAATCATACTATGTATAAGTATGAAATCAAATGTAAATCAACAATAATTCAAGAAACACAACAAATCATAACATCTCAACCGTGACATATGAAAATTAGGTGCTCATCAATCTATGCTAACATATTTACATAAACAGGACTGGGTGTAATCATAAATACGCTCTAGTACTATAATCACATGAAGACTGGCGCTAGGCGCATCACATACGAGTCCTAGTTGCCTATTGCAACCTATGATAGCATTGGCACCTACAATGGGTCCAAAGTGAGTGTGCAGTGCGATGTGACCATACACGTGAAGCCTAGCCCTAGCCCGGGGGCTAGTACTACACCGATGCAAGTATGCATGATGAGCAGGTAAAATGTATATGAACATGCCATGACAATTTATAAGTCTCAACAATATAATAGCACTTTTAAAATGAAATAAAACATGGCATGATAGGCATAATATTAAATCCAAAAGCATTTGTGGAAACCATAAAACTTTATAATATATATATATATATATATATATATATATATATACATACATACATATATATATATATATATATAATAACAAATGCCCACTCACTGATACGTAGTCGAATCGTAGCCTCCTAACCTCATCGGGGATAATTCTCTCATATATGTGAAACAACTATAATAATTAATTAATTAATTAAAATATACATGAAAAGGCTGGGAAACTCCCTCATAGTTTGCTCAAACGGAGGGTTTAAATATACGAAAACATTATATGCGACGTCACGGACCCGTACACATTGACCATGCGCCACCACGAAGTGGCACGTGCCTTCACGCGCCACCAGCAATTGGCCACATGCGTGGCCACACGCTTGCACGTGCTAGTAGAACCCTAGGGAATATTCTGTCAGTTGACGGAATATTTCGTTAACTCTAACAGAATACCTCAACTGTATTAGTAACAGCGTGAGAATATTCTATCAACTTTAACAGAATATTCTCCTTCTTCCTCAGTTCTCTGGTTGCCGTCGCCGCCACCTGATTAGCAGGAATCTGGAAAAGTTGATCGAATTTTTTGTAAAAACTAAAACTTCATAACTTTCTCATTTCTCAACCATTTTCGATGTACTTTATATGGAAATGGACTGAAAATGGCTCAAAAGTCTTGATCCTAATTCCAACGTCCCAAAATCGCGTGTCTACACATTGGCTTGACTTCAAACTTAGGTTAGGGACATCGGAGAGTTGTGTGGTTGCTTCTAAACCTTCCAAAACCTTGTAACTCGAACAGAAAGATGTCGAAGAACCATGATTCGAGTTGGAGCTCCAAGTTGGGAATCAAACTCGTTCGTTTTCGAGTCAGGTTGTACGAATGGACTTGTGGGGACGAGAGGAGTACGATGATGATGGTTTAAACATCAATATGTGAGGTTCGATGATGGAGTTTGAAATAGGGAGAAAGGTGATTGGTTGGTGTGGTAAGTGAGAGACCTGTTTTTAAAGTGGGAAATGGTCCAATTTACACAATTTAAAACTAAAAAATATCTAGCTCACCCTATCCAAAACATTGTTCACTAACACTGATTAGTTCGCACATATGTGTACAATTTTTCCTGATGTTAACCAACTTTAAATAAGCATAAATTCTTGGTTACAAATCCATTTCGAGTCTAACATGCGCTCACGCGTTTGTAATAACAAGTACAAATTAATTACGATAATACGAAAAATAAATTTATTGATGCACAAAATCAGTGAGACTTTGGAACAACGTAAAGTGTAAAGTTTGTGACCTTTGCTCGGTTGCTCTGATCACCTGATAAGGATAATGTGTAAATAGATAAAGATTAGAAAGCAAACATAAGATGTACGTGGTTCACCATAGGCTACGTCCATGTAGTAGAGGAATTCTCATTAATAGTGAATGGTTTACACAATACATAGGTTCAAGCATAATCATCATTAGTGAGTTCTAATTATTAGTTTAAGTATAATAATGACATTAGGAATTAACTGTAGGAGAATGGTCTTCTTTTATAGTTGAGGAAAGTCTCTAGCTTTCATCTAAAGTCGGTGTGGGACTCTATGAGCTTTATTTTGATGTTGACATGTGTCGTGCTGTGATTGGCCTCCTGGTTGGAGGGAAACTCTTGTGCTTCCGCAAGGGTGCCTTAGCATGAACCCCTCAGTGAGTCCTTGAAGGTATGACGTTGATCGTACTTGGTAGTTTCGGGATTGGTCAAGTATGGTACAAATGGTGCTCCCTTAAGTTCCCGAGTGAGGAAAGCTTCTCAGTTGGGGACTTGAGAATTCCAAGTCACTGAGTAGTCACGAAACTTCTAAGTACCGGAGTGTAGTAGCATATAGTGGGAGTCCCCCAAGTCTTCGAGCGAGGAGAGTTAGCGAATGAGGTGCCTTGATATTCTTGAATGGTTGAAGCTTTTTCCTTTGGACATATAGCTTGAGTGGTTGAAGTTTTGTAGGTGAAGCTTTTTGGTTAAACTTTGTCAGTGAAGCTTTGTAAATTGTAGGTGAGGCTTTTTGGTTAAAGCTTTGTAGGTGAAGCTTTTAGGTTGGAGCTTTGTAGGTGAAGCTTGTAAGTTGAAGCTTTGTAGGTAAAGTTTGTATTTTGATGCTTTGCAGGTGAAGCTTGTATGTTGAAGCTTTATAGGTGAAGCTTTGTAGGTGAGGCATTTTAGTTGAAACTTGTATGTTGATTTTGCTTCCACACTCTTAAGCAAGAATGTGGAAGGTTTTTTGAATTTTTTGTTGAAGCCTTCGGTTGAAGCTGAAGAACATAAATAGATTTTGCTTCCACACTCTTAAGCAAGAGTGTGGAAGGCTTTTTTATTTTTTATTTTTATTTTTGTTGAAGCCTTCGGTTGAAGCTTTTTTGAACCACATAAATAGATTTTGCTTCCACACTCTTGAAGAAGAATGTGGCAGGCTTTTGAATTTTTTGTTAAAGCTTTCGGTTGAAGCTTTTTTGAAGCACA